TTAATGCTGTAATGACATTTTGTCTAAAAAATTTTATCTCTAAGCTATTATTTTATTTTATTAGTTGTAAATAAAAATATTAAAAGAAATTAAGGTAAGTAGATGGCAATTGTTTACTTATAAGTAGAGCTATAAAATATTATTTATTATTATAGGTCAAATTTTCTTATAATATAATATTATATGACTTGAAAAGATTAAAATATTTTTAATGCTCAAATGTGCATTATTTACATGTAAATAAGTATAATATCAGTTGATGTATCTTTTCCCTTTTAAAACTTAATAATAAGATATATAATACGTCTTGCATTAGTTAAACAGTTTTTAAGTGAATCAAATTAAACGACATGCTAATTTAATTTCAAATCAACATTAATTATTACAAGGAGAAAATAATTCAATGTTTAGTTAAACCAACATTTAAAATGCATTTTTTTTTTAAATATCCTAAGGATTCAAAATTATATTCAATCAAATATGTATAATATATGTATTATTTATTTTTATTATTTTTTTTTTTTTAACTACATGTGAAAAAATTGTTTTACTTAAAACTGTACATTTTCGAAACATTAAAAATAATAAATGATATTACACTACTATAGAATATAATATCTTAAATAATAACTTTTATATTTATAGTTATAAGGCTCTATAGTTTAGTAACAAAATACATTTTCAGTTTAATAATTATTAGTAATCGCTAAATTTTTAAATTAATATTTTAAAGGGCGTTTGTATAGGCAATATAGGTACGTCATTGCAGTGGAACGCAACTAATACTCAAACCCAACTTATATTTATTTTTATGAGAAAATAGTTTTATGCTTTAACGCTCAGTTTTACTTGGAAATATTAAATTCGGAACACTTGTTGTATATCATATAAATTTTTAATAATATACATATATAGGTAATTTGAATATTGCGTGTTTGTAATATTTTGTTATTATGACCTAATAGTTTATTAAGATCAATAATTATGCGCTTCTTCTACTAAAAATAATTTTTTACATCAACACATTATTAAATGTGTATGAAATAATAGTTATTTGTTTATTTTAAATTAATTAACAAATTTATCAAAACATTTAAGCTCATTTAACTGTAAATATCGTTGGTCACATTTTATGTTTTGGAGCGTGGATATATTTAAGGTAGTTATTTATTAATTATTGTCGTTTAGTTCTCAAATAATATTATTTAATATTTCAACTCATAATAAAAGCAGAATTTTTTTTTTTATTTCAAAAGAAAATAATTGTGTTTATGTTTTATTTGTATACTGAAAGGTTGTGACTGATTAAATTTTATGTTAATCACGATCATTTATTAGCCACTAGTGTTGTATTTCCCTGTGTCTTGGTAAGAACACAATAATAACAACACTAATAATTGTATTAATAATATTTATAATCTATGTTTTAACACTCTATTGATGATTATTATAATACCGTGTCTTATTGTGCGTAAAAATCATGCAATTTAAATATTCATATAATATAATATACTTTCAATTTTTCATCAACTAAATACTTAATAAAAAATTACCGTAAAATATTTTAACGAAAACATTGTTAAAATTGTATTATTGCGAAGTATTTTTGATTTTAAAATTGTTTGCTATAGTTATTATAGTTATTAGTGCATACACTTATAAGCTTAATGGTCTTTCTTTAAGATCGATACATTTTAAATAGTTTTTTGTAAGACCTTCAGCTGGTAATTTCTAGTAGTTTCTCTTTAAAAATTAATTTAATTTGTAAATAGTAATTTAACGTGCACGCGCATTTGTATTAGACCTGAAGCGATGTAAAATGTGTTATCTTAAAGCGCTTTACTAATGTTGATCGTTTATAAGGTAGGCGGCATGAGAATGGGTGCACTAGTAAACGACGACAATTATCATTTACACAGTACCAACATTGCACATTTATCATATCGTGTTTAGACGAATACTCTACTTGTATTTGTTGTTTGTAATATTATCCTTCATTCTGTTATTTCATGGAATTATAATTAGTTTCATATTTTTAATTAGACACAGTAATTAGTAATATTATTCTTTGGAATTCCAGAATAATGTTAGAATTAGATTCAGTGAGACTTTCATCTGTTTATGAATTGGTAGATAAATTATAATTTTAAATAGAAATTAAAAATTAAAAAAAATGTTCTATTCAAATTAAAATATTAAGTTTATTGTAAATTAAAAAAAAAAAAACACAGCATAATATATATATATATATATATATGTATATATATATTTTTTTAGTTGAATATATTTAAACTCGCAAGTATTAATAATTATTTTTTATAAATAATTGAACTTTTGTTATAGAAGTTTCGATCCCGTTTCGAGTGCAAGAGTTTTCAGCAAGATCAGAATGTGTTAGGTACTTTGATTTTGCTTAAAAATTTGAAATAAGTACGTAAAAAAATAAAACAACTCTTCGTAATACAGTTAAATCTAATATAAAATGTATTGATACTTGATAAAAGTGTAAGTCATAATGTTTAGACTTGTGATATTTGAAAAAAATGTAAACACATGATTTCTTATGTGTAGGGTTATGACGTATAATAAAGTAGGTATTATTTATACGAAAAATCCGACAACAGGCATGAACTGTATGATAATCTCACTGTGACACGGATGCGTTAATTTTTACATCATCAGTTCGGGATTAAAATAGACTGTCTGGTTTCCATTCGAGATGATTTAATTTCTTTATATTGATAAATACTTCAAATACTCATTGACGTCATGGACTTGATGTTATATTCGTCTAAATCTATACAAATATTGGTAGCTTATAGAATAAAAAAACCAAAGAATATAAAATTAATAGTGTACAATTATAAATAACTAGCAAAACGTGTAGATAAATAAAATTAGAGTTCGAGTACAATATCGCAATGTCGGAAAAATTGCAGATTTGTGGTGTCGATACTTGACGTTCACATAGGTCGTTCGAGATATTGAGCTGGTTTCAGGTTTCTCGGGGCTCTTACGATTCCGCGGATACTTTTTATATGTGAATTTATCATCAGACACTTAGTTTGACGGAACAATGATTACATAATCAAACACAGAGACTATGATGCATATTCATTAGTACGATCAATGATCGTCGTTACGGCTATAATCGGTCGTTGAACACTAGGCGTTTCTAAGCCATATAAAATTATACAAATTATGTCGTATGTGTGTAGGAGGGTATCGTTGAAAGTAAGTGGGTAGCGTTATAATACGTATATCGACGTTTTTTCGCGTCTAGTCTTGTTAAATTTTACAACGCCGTCGACCGTCGTTATCGCAGTTTATTTATGTTATTTAGGTTAAAAAAAAATAATGATAACAACAATAGTAATAATGATATATAAACAATTTTCACCGCTGAGATCAATATACTGCTGCAGTGTAGTTGCAGAGGGATCGCGCACGCCAACAAACCGGAATAACGTCGTATTGTCGTACGCTGCAGTGCCGAGGAGAATAGCGGATACCTCACAGGTCGATTCCTGGCACTCGAAAACGTCAACACGCGAACAGTACCCAAAAAATAGATTGTGAATTTTTCGAGGAGCACCCCTACCACCGCGGTTCAACGCGAGTTTCGCCCCGCGCACGGGCGGCGGACGTGGGGGTATTTTTGGTTTTCACCGTACGTTTCGACGCTGCTGCCGCTGTTGATCAAACATATTATTACTGACACGGCTCGTCGTGCGGCCGAGTCGTAGCCAATACCTAACCCATACGGTTTACGGTTAACCGTATCTACATAATATTAATTACGTCCGCGTGTATATATATATATATATATATGTATAGCTGGTTAACGCGGGACCGGGACAAGTCACGGGACTTAGGCGCGATACCGTGTAATATATACAGGCGTGTAAATTATTATACCGTGAGCGATGTGCACGCGTCAAAGGGGAAATTAAGATCAAAAGTTTCGGCGGTGCTCGCGGAGGCGGGTCGGGCGGCAGCGGACGTTTCGGCGTGTATTTCCCATGAGAGGGCTGCGTGCAACACGCGGCTCGCATATCGCGCAATTCACCGCGAATTTACATTTTTCATAGCTTTGTCCCGCCGTTTTCTCGGTCACTGGTCGTGCGGGCGACGTTCCCCACAGTAGTATGTTTTGGTCGGTTCTGTGACCCCCGCAAATCCCACGGATCCCATTACTCCGCCCTCCCTATCGTGCGCGTGCCATGCCTATCGCGGCCATGCCCCTCCATGTCGTGCCCGGCCTTACCCCTCCATGCCATGCCCGGCCTTTCCCCTCCCCTCCATTCCAATACCTGCCCGGCCATACCCCCTCCCATCCATTCCTATCCACTACATGCCCCCCCCCCGAAAATTATAAGTAGTCGAATTCAATATACCCAATACGATTTAGTTAAAAATTTACTGATATTTAAAATCATGTGTAGAATACATTCGTTTTGAAACAGTGTATTAGTTAATTTTAGTTTATTGAGAGTTAGTAGCCGATTAATAATATAATATATAACATAAATAAGTAATTTTTGATGAGGTCTCATTATCTTTTATAGATGTGAAAAATGAAAGTGTCACTTACACTTTCATATTTCATCTATAACATTTCAATACAGCTATTAACTCTACAACGATTTAAAAGTTATGGTAAACAAAACGATTAAGATAATCACATATCTATGTTATACATTATCACCTGCAGTATTAATATTATGACAACTTGATATTTCTATAACACCTTGTTGTTATTAGCTATATATTATTTCTCTTTTAACCAAAAAGTCGTTAGGAAAAGACAATTTACGTGTAGGACATCACTTTCCATTTCGGTATATGATTATATATTTATCATACGTTGTATGTGGATGGGGAAAATGTATCATATATAAGAGACCCGATTTTACTCAAAGGAGTCATACTGTTCTTCAAGCTCTTGAAAACAGTTTACAGTTTACTATTGTTCTCAGTTCAGTCTTCATTACGTAAAAATGTTTAAGTGTAGTGTTTGTGAAAAAGTCTTCACTGTGAAGTCTAATATGTTGAGACATGAAAAATCTCACAAACAAATTAAATTTTCATGTGGTGATTGCAGTCAATTTTTTATTCGTCGGGATCATCTTGTGAATCACGTACTGAAAAAACATGGTATGTACTATTTTATTAAATATTATCTATATATAAAATTAGTGACTTATATTTACGAATATTGAATTTTCTATATATTGATAAACAGATTAAACGAATAGCCGATACTAGCTCAAATTAAAATAATAATAATCCTACGTTAGCCTAGTACCTATATAAGTTCATTACTATAATTTTTATATTAACAACCGTAATTATTAATAGCGCTCATTTCCATAAAATTGCTAAAGTGATATTATATGAATATAAAATTGTTTAGGGTATGCAATTAAATATTAACAAATTAATGATTTTAATATTAAAATATATATATATGAAAATATATCATATGTTTAGTATAGATTATATAAGAAAAATCTTTTATTCTGTAATTCATTCTCAATAGGTTTTGTTAAGTATGGTTCTGAATATAATTTGGCTATGGGTATCGCAGTCGGACAGCAGCAGCAGCATCAGCAGTCATTAAGTGTGTAGTAATTATATTATTAAAATGTATTGGAATCGATAATAATAATTGTTATTATTATTTCTATAAGGTTCGGTGGGTATCGTAGATAGTGTTGCATCCACGTCAAATGTGAATGATTCCATTCCACAGCAAGCCCCCACTCCTCCCGCCCCGTCAGTTAAACGCGCTAATACCAACTCGGCGCGTAATATTGTAAAGTTTAAAAAAGCCCGCATAGGAATGGTTAATACGCCGGGTTTTATCGAACTCGACTCTGCACTCGATAGAACCGTAGTATGGTATTATAGGGGGAATACCGAGAACTGTGTGAGTTATCAGGCGTTTTTAGAATCGATAAAACTCGAGTTGATTGAAAAAATCAATTATTGCGTGCGTATTAACCCGATCAAATATAATTTGAAGTTGGAGAGCGTGTACGCACATAGGGAATACAACCGAGGACAGAGCTTTTAAAACCACCGTGTCGAGGGGCGTACATTCATAGCGATGTAGAGCTTATGGTCGATGAGACTTTTGCAGCGCTCATGTCGAGAAGATAGATATATATATAAAAAGGGTCGAAACCACCCTATCAGTATCGATGGCTTACTGTTAGGTATCTATGAACATACCCCTCTTGGAGGGTCTTCGTATATTCCACTCCCGGAAAACATTATGCGAAAAAGGCCGTCATTAATCTATGAACATCGACGATGACTGCTTCAAGTGGGCTATTCTAGCCAAACACCGTTTCAGTAGTCATCGTAATCATGTAGACCGAAATTATTATAACGAAGAGCATCGGTACGATTTTCCGAACTATCCTCGCCGAACCTATATCGGAAATCCATATATTCGAACGACGGAAGATAAGGGTGTCGGTAAACGTATATGGTTGAAACCTAGTAGAAGGTGATGAGAGAAGGAGAAAAAGTAAATAAAGGGGTGTAGTATCAATCAGAGTTGTCGAGAACGAAAGATGAACATTTGTTCTTCTCGTGTTGAAGGCTCAGAGCAGATACTAACAATATATTCAGTACTGCGACTGGTGCGGGTCAAGAAAACCTCTCATGAGTCGACTTTTACCTTATACGAAATTGTTTCATCATTCGATGAGCAGGTTAAAAATAAATTACGCGGTAATGAGGCTCTCCAACAACATATGCGGTTGGCGGGCCAATAAACCTATTTTACCAGTTATGCCGGAGAGTATACTCAGTTTAAGCGGGGGCCAACATGCAGCGTCATCATTTGTGATATGCGCTGATTTTGAAGCCTATAAACCGGGCAAGGCGGTGGGGCGAGCACTGACGGGATACGCATCATCCGATGAGCTGCGGGTACTTTGTCAAGGCGGCGGTAGACACATACCCGTAGCGCTGATGAAAAGCCGACATACCGCAAGCGCCGATGGTCGTATACCACGGCTCCGGAATCGCGTTACGGTGGCTAAGCCTTTGTCGCCAGTAATGCTGCGCTCGCCACCAGGTTGGGTGATCTACTGAGGCGACTAATGTACTTGATTTCAATGATTGGCCAAGTGCGTATGCATAACGCGAAAGTGTGTGCGATATGTATGAGATTAGGGATTCACTGAGACCAGGTGTAAAATCGCCGACCACTGTCATCTGTCAGGAGCGGCTGAGACACCACTCTGCGCCGATGCAACCTCAATCGCCACACCAAAATTTGCCTGGGCGCTTCACAACCTGTGTCGAAATATGACGCACTTTATCGTAACCGAACTCGTTGTAAGGAAATCGTAACAGTGATCTAACACCAGGAGAACTACATTTCATTTTGAAAGCGCGTCATGCCCGACACCAGTGTGAGGTTCTTGGACTCGTATCATTCGCCGGTCTCGAGAGCCTGGCTGGATTGGCCGGAATCTCCTCGCAACCAGCGATTTGGTTCGGGGCCGCAAAGGTGTTCCAACCCGCCGACATGTCACTGTCACGCCGAAAGGGTGTGTTTCGACCTGGTATACCGGCAAATGGTCAGAATAAATGCCTACCGCCGAAACGCGAGTTTGCAGTATATTGACCGAAGCATGTAAGTAGGGACTACATGCACGCGACGGAGGTGTGGCAACATTTCAACCGACCCTCGGTGACTACAGTGACACCTGGTGGACGTTTCTCCTTCTGGCCGACGTGATGGAGAACTGGCTGACCTCTGCATGTCGATGGCCTTTCGTCCATTAGCCGGTAGCCCATACGGCGCCGGGGTTCACGTTCGGCTTCATGTTGGTATACGGACGTCTCACTGAGTTACTCACCGATTACGATGGTACTTTTCGTGGTGGGGATCAGAGAAC